CACAAATAAGCACTTTCTGTAGTTTGGTTTAGTAAAAATATATCTCATTTATTTCTATACGATACAAGTTATATTGATTTACACTCTCACTTCACGTATCGTACCCGCGTCGCGCTTTAAGTACGGCAATGATTCGGACGTCGCGACGCGTTATGCTTAAATTGCTTGACCGAATTTCTGACCAAGAATTGTCCGACTGGCCCTCGGTCGCCTACGCGGCCGTGCTTTTATTAATTATTTTGGGGTCGCCCGTATAGCCTCGTCAGCGTTCTACTCAGACGAGGCCAGCGTCCGCGCAATATCTTAGTCAGCGGTCGAGTACTGCTTTTATTATAATAATTGGTTTATATATCATATTGGCAATAATATGATTGCGCTAATGTTATTTTAGTATTTCGCCGTTCTGTGGCGAAATCGTCACAGTGGATATAGCGCAGTTTTGCACTCGTGACAGGAAGATAACAAGAAGCTGAACGATACTAACAATTTAAAGCGTCAAAAACAAAAACAAAAGAAAATATGTTTATTGTCGAAAGCGGCACTCCGTTACTTGGCAGAACGTGGATCCGGCAGTTAAGAATTAATTTACTCGATCTAGATAAAACTCACATTCCAGAATCTATGTGTTCAGAATCGATTTATTGCCTAAATACACACAAAGATGTCGTAATCAAAATCCTGCAACAATTCAATGATATTTTCCAACCGGAAGTAGGATGCATCCCAAATTTCACCTGCTCATTGAAACTACGGGAAGAAGCAAAACCCGTGTTCTTAAAGGCTCGTGATGTTCCATTTGCACTCCGAGATAAAGTTGACACAGAATTAGATACATTAGAAGCTTAAGGCATTATTTCAAAAATTGATTGCGTCGACTGGGGATCACCTTTAGTAGTTATTCCGAAGCCAGATGGTTCCGTTCGATTATGTGTTGATTACAAAATTGCAGTAAACCCCCAGCTAAAGGGAGCTCATTACCCAATTCCAAGAATTGACGAAATTCTAAACAGTCTTAGGAATGCAAAATTTTTCTGCACACTTGACTTATTCAAAGCATACTTGCATGTTGCAGTGGATGAAGAAAGCAAGATTATCCAAACCATATCGATCCACCGAGGTACCTATAAAATAAATCGACTGTCTTTTGGAATCAAAACAGCCTCCAGCGAATTCCATAGAATCTTAGATCAGATTCTAAGTGATCTCGACGGGATAACTACCTATTTCGACGATATCGTAGTGAGTGGTTCAACGTACATAGAATGTAAACAACGACTAATTGCTTGCCTGGAAAGACTGAAGAAATATAATTTACATTTGAATCAAAAGAAATGTCGATTTTTCGAAGATTTCTTATCTAGGATACATCATAGAAGAAAACACAATTTCGAAGTGCCCAAACAAAGTCAAAGCAATTTTAGAAGCACCTAGACCTAAGAATACTGAAAATGTAAAAAAATTTTTGGGATTAATTACGTACTATTCCAGGTTTATCCCAAATGTGTCCACGACTACATACCCGATCCAGGAACTATTACAGAAGGAAAAGAAATTCTCTTGGTCATCCAGCTGTGAGGTAGCATCTATCAAATTAAAAGAAGAAATTGCCAGTGACCGGGTATTAATGCCGTATAATCCATCTCTCCCAGTTACAGTAGCATATGACGCTAGCCCATCAGGAATCGCGGGAGTACTGTCACACATTGTGGAAGGCATAGAAAAACCAGTAGCTTTTGTGTCTCGTTCCCTTACGAGAGCCGAACAAAATTACAGCCAGTTGGACAGGGAAACCCTTGCCATTATATTTTCAATCCAGAAATTCTACCGGTATACGGACGACCGTTCACACTAATATCGGACAATCGTCCTTTAACCAGAATTTTTCAACATAACACAAAACTACCTGCGATCACTTCCGCACGATTACTGCGATATGCAACATTTCTAAGCAACTTCAATTATAAAGTAGAGCATCGTAAAGGTGAGGACCATGGTAACGTCGATTATTTGTCGCGCGCATCATTAGAATTCAAGTCAACTGCACAAGATGAAGAAATCAACAACCAGATAATCAATCAAATAGCCACTACAATTATCACTAGCAAAACCATCGTAGAAGAAACCATGAAAGACGAAGAATTATCACAGCTAAAAGAAAATTTATCATCTGGAGAAACATATGATCTAATTTACAGCCTGCATAATGGTATTATCTTCCGAGGTCATCGAATTTTCATTCCTACTTCTTTACGCCCAGAGATCTTGAAAGAGCTGCACTACACTCACCTTGGCATCTCAAAAATGAAGAAGTTAGCTAGGCGATATTGTTACTGGCGAAACATCGATAAAGATATTGAAAAGGTAGTACGTTCATGTCTAGAATGTACAAAAGGACAAAATAATCCTCGAAAGGCTCCACTCCACCATTGAGAAGAGCCCGAGTTCAACTTTCAGCCTGTTCACATAGATTACGCCGGACCATTTCAAGGACATCAGTTCCTTGTTCTTGTTGACGCCAAATCTAAATGGCCGGAGGTTAGAATTACAAAAGAAACTCCAACGTCTGCTTCAACTATTCGTTTTTTAGAAAATATTTTTTGCTCACAATGGAACACCTGAAGTTCTAGTATCCGACAACGCGACAATATTCAAGAGTGAGGAATTTACATAATTCTGTCAGAGAAATGGCATCTTTCAAAAATTCACTGCTCCAGGACACCCAGCAACTAACGGGTTGGCAGAAAGGTACGTTCAAATTCTCAAAAAGAAGTTGAAAGCAATGGAATTCGATCCAAGTACAATAACTTCAAAGGTAGAAAACATTCTATATCGTTTCCGAACCACGCCATTACACTGTGGTAATAGTCCATCGGAGATTTATCTAAACAGGCAAATTCGAACAAGTCTAGATTTATTGCGCCCTCCGAGCACAAGCCCGACGTCCACTCAGGAATGTCATATAAGACAATTAAGCGTGGGAGACAGAGTACAGTCTCGAGCTTACAGTGGAACTCAACGATGGAAACTCGGCGTAATCACGAAAAAGTTAGGTCGACTACATTATTTGATACATTTGGACGAAGGATACCTCATCAAGAGACACATTAATCAGCTACGTCCGAGTGAAGCCCCCAAGGAAAAATCTGAAAGGAAATCAGTCCATTTTGGTCCAGTAACCAGGAACTGGTATCCATTACTAGACAATACACCAGAGCTCCAATCAAGAGCTGAAGAACAGTCCCACCAGATACGGACACCAGCGAAGGATCCTGCTCCGGCAGCACAGAATATTCAGACACCAATCGGAGAAAGTGCCATAAGGGAAAGTCAGGGCCAGAATCCACCACTCCGCAGATCTGAGAGGCTCCGTAGACCTCCGACATATTTGAATAATTTTGTTCCCAAATGAGAAAACTACTATCTTTCTTTTTCTTTCTTTTTTTTTCCAGATATGTTTAAGCAGTTATCTTCTTTCCAATAAGCGTGGGAGACTGTTGTATCCGTTCGTTCATTGGCCGATTGAATCACCCTATGAGTTTTAGTTTTTGGCTGTGTGGCGACACTGAAAAAAGAGACGACGAGCGAGTTCGAGCACGCATCCTTCCCGTATTATATATATACGATTATTTTATGTGTAGACAGAGATTTGATGTATGATAATATATCGTGATTGGAATAAGGAACCTGCGAGTCAATCTATTTTTTTACAATCCTCCATCCAGTCACAACACTATTGGTATAAGAAAATATGCATCTTGTAAGTCTATTGACGCCATAAAATTATCTTATAGAATTAACTTCAAAGCTGTTTTTAAATCCTGCATTTTTAAATGTTCTCTTTGTATAAATTTATTTAAACTTTTTAAATTTAAAATAAACCGATACTCCCCGTTAGGTTTGGGAACTAAAAAATAAGATGATTGAAGTATTGATCTTTTCTTTCTATACATTTTACAATAACACCCTTATGTACTAAATTATGTATTGCTTGGGATAATAAATCTAGCTCTCTGATAGATCTAGATGGCTCTTTAAATTTGAATGACTGATAGACTGGCTTATAAAAGGGTATCTTATATCCTTTTACACATTGCAAAATGAATTTATCATTTGTTTGCTTTTGCCAGTTATCAAAATAATTACTTAGACGACCCGCTATGGGACTTACTAATTCGTCTTTTTCTCGTTCGCTGTCGTTGATTCGGAATCCTGTGTACGGTTCTGATACTGCGTCTTCTTCTTGAAGAACAATCGTTTCGACTGATTCTGTTGTCGATATGGGTAAGTACTGTTCCAGGTTCTTCCTGGACGGGCTCTCCAGTTTTTTGGAAAATTATTTTGTTTTTTAATCAGTTGCTCTTTTAGGGTCTTAGCCATTTTTTCCATAACAACTACTTGTTTAATTTTCTCACTCAATTCTTTTCCAAAAAGAAATTCCTCTGATTTCGTTTTTTCCAGAGCTGTTTTTGAATTTGGTTTTAGTCCCGGTAAAATAAATGCTCTTCTACAAACTGTCTGTTTGTTAAAAAAATCGGCTAAAAATCTAATCGTATCAGAGAAGCTTTCTACGATTAAAAGTTTAACTAAACCTTCATCGTCTATAGATAATATTAAGGATAATGCAGAGCCTACGCTGGTAATGGCTGAACCAATAATATTTTGGTATTCCAAAAAGTGTTTATCTCTTTTAACTGCCGTTTCCTGTAATACTGGTTCAACTTCTGGGTTTAATTTTGGAAACTCAAGGTATCCTGAGCGAGAGTACTTTATGATAAGTTTCTTTCGATCGTCCTTCGGTAATCCGTCTGCTATTCATCCTTCTAGTCGATCGGATATATCCTTATGTAGATTAGGTTCTACCGCTTTAGACATTTTTGGATTATCTCCTAAGAATTTTAGAATTTCTTCTGTTAAGGTATTATCGTCAGGTATATTATTCTCCTCATTTTGTAGAGGTAAATTTTTTATAGGCTCATTCTCATGACCTTGAAAGGAAAAATCTCAAAAACTATTTTAATTTTATAAAAAGCAAATCTTTCCGGGTTAATTTTACTTCACTTGCCACTAGCGCAAGCTTCTTATTTTTCCAGTCTGTCTTATCTCTAGTGTAAGCTCACTGGTGATAAGAGGTTAGAATACCCCTTTTGTCTTATAGACAATTTTTATCTCTATTCAGTTTGTCTTACCTCGAGTGTAAGCTCACTGACAATAAAAATAACTTACCGGAAGGCATTTGTGAACCGTCTGTATGCTCTATTGGCCGAACGGTTTCTTTTTCCGAGGATCTAACTTCCAACTCTGTATTCTGTCGATTCTCGAGTATCTTTTGATACTACCGAATCTTCTTCTCTAATCTTTCTGTTGAGTCTCTGCCATTTCGGCATGGGTATTGAAGAAGAAAGACTTTATTATACAACAAATTAAGAAACGAAGTGACTCGTCGCGCACAACGAAAAATAATGACGAAGAGGGGGCGTCCCCTAGTTTGGGCGGATTTTCAAGTTGAATATTGTGACTCCTAGCACCTCAGAAAGGTACTACATGTTGTAATCTTGAGAACGAGGCATGAAATATAAGTAGATTTTACGCTTAATAGTATTGTTACGACCGTACCATGCCGACACCGTAGATCGCCACTCGTATAGTGCGGACGGTCGCGTTGCTCAGCGGCACGTGCGGTTGTTGATAAACAAGATCGGCAGATTTGGACGTGAGCTGTGTTCGGACGTGTCTCTCGATCCGTTAACCAATATTCTCGATTGTGTGCTCTGAGTGTGACGTGTGTGTATCCTGAGTTGTACAATAAACGCTTCTCGTTCTTCTATACATTCTCGTGTTGTTTATTTCCCGCGAGCCGGGAGTGCGTGAACGCGTTCGCGTAGGCGTCTCCACGACTCGGACGCCGGACGTAACATTTTGGGGGCTCGTCCGCTTGGACATTCGATGCGTGCCGTGCGGGAGACAACTGCTCGAAAAAGGAGGATCGTTGCTTCGGAGCAATCTCCTGTTGTGTCAACCGTGAGGATGTCGTAAGAAGTGCCACCTACGACGATTGCTCTTCAGGCTGTGTTACGAGAGGTACAACAACTGCGGGAAGAACAACGGCACGCACCAGCCGAATTCACAGAATCTACACGACAACGTAACACTGAGATGCTGCAGATGCATGAGGAGCATCAGCGTACGCTGACAGACTGCATGGACACTGATCATATAAGAAAATAGATAACCAACTCCCATACTTTACTTTGGAATAGTGTTTTGAACGCCATCTAGGCGAATATACATAAATGAACTAATATTCAATATGGCTGCCCTCTAATAGAAAATAAGGATGCAGACACAATAGAATAAATAAAGAATGAGGAATAATGATTTCAACCTATTTATATATACATATACAAGTAGGTATATCCGATTGTTGATAGGTTGAAATAATTATTTCTAATTCCTTATTCGTTCTATTGTGTCTACAGGCCTGTTTTTTTTTTCAATTAAACTTCTTGCTTGAAAAAGTAACTATGAAGTTATAAATCTAAAAATAATAATTTTATTAGTTCAATTAAATTATTTTTTTTATTAATTTATCACACTAGTACATATAATTATAATAAATATAAAATTACATTTTTAGAAGTACAAATAGTCATTTTAAAAAGTTTAAAAATTTACATTTTTTTCACATATCGTTTTTGTCTTTTTTTATAATGTTCAATAGCTTGCTTAAAAATAAAATTTCTAGCTGTATGTCGAGTATCACGACCAGATAGAACTCGATTTATTGTTTTACAAAATAAATATAAAAACAGTTTTATAATTTTTTGTATTACAGTGCGTTTAAATTCTTCTTTATGTATATGACATTGAAAAAAATCTAAATTTAATTCTTGATTTAAACGTTCACGTAATAATGCAGAAACATTTCTGCGAAAACATATTGAAGAAATATTTTAATTTAAAATACGATCAGCTTCAATATATGCATGTTTTAAAAAGGATAGAGACGGATAAATTAACGAAGGTTTCTCTTGTACATATTCTCTATGGACTATTTCCTTATACTCTTCACGTGTTGTATCTGTTGTTAAGAGGCTCTGTTTACACGCTAAACAATTTTTTAATTCTTTCAAAGACAATATCTTTTTTGCAATCCAGCCAGCAACGTACACTTGACTATTTTTATACGATGAAACTTTATGCATTATTGTTTTATGCGGAATTTGAAATGATTCTACAGAATCTTCTTCCACTGTTTGTTCTGTAGTGTTAACATGAGAAACATCTTTTACAAAGTTCTTTAATGTAAATAATAAATCACCATTATTTTTGGTTTCGCAGTTATTACCCATAGAGCGTTTCGAAGTTAGATTATTGATTAATAGTGTTTTGTACGATCCACAGAATTGGCTACATGTAGGATTGATATTTCTACGTCCGTGACTACGAATCATACCAAATAAGTTTTCTATTGGATCTTGATTAATATTTCTCGTCTTTAAAAACTTCATGCCTGCATTATAGATCATTTTCCAAATGTTTTGAAACCCACATAGAGTAAAGATCCAATTTTTTAATGATGGTATGCACCTAACTGGTTGTTTAATTTTTGGATCCACATATCGCATATTAGATAGTAATCTAATAGCATACAACCAAAAATCATGATGTTTACTATTTTTTGATACCGCAACTCGTAAAGGACTTTTTGGATGCAAAGTATGTGCGTTTACGGAATCAAAAAGTTTGTTAAAAAAATCTAATACCACTGCTGTGTCATATCCTGCTTTGTTTGGAATTTGAAGTGGACCAATCTGTGAATTAACAAATCCTCCTGCGAAGTTAAATAAAAAATATATAAATATATTATGCTATTCAATAAATTAGAAGAAAATAATAATTATCACTTATCAAATTACCTTCGATTTTGCTGTTGTATTCAATATATGCTGATAATCTAGCGCTGAAAACTTGAGCAGCACATTTAACTTTCATCTTTTTTATTTTTGATCTAATTACATGTTCATCAGTTAATGTTGGCAGTTGACGATTCAATGTATTTGTGTTGATATCCATTTTATACGCCAGTTCAATGATCTCCCATGATGCAAATTGTCGTTCGTTTGTTTCTGAATTATTGACATTAAATTCTAAATTTTTAAATAATAAATTATTACGAATTCCTTTTAAAAGGTGTGGTGGATCAAAGATGGGTACAAAATTTTGTCCAAAAAGTTCAATAACATCGCCTTAAAAAAAATTAAAAATTATTTTATGCATTACTTATGTTGTTTTCTAATATATATTAATTTTCTAATATTATTATATTTTCTAATATATTAATATATATTAGAAAAAATAATATTAATAATAATTAATTAATATACAGGGTGATGCTTTTAACTTGAGACA